TTAACATAATTAGACAAAAATAACGTATAATAACATATTTTCATTTTAATAACAAAAATAACGTGTTTACAATAGTTATTTATTTTAGCAACTGATTTATTTTTAACGTCTTCTCGGATTCCATTATAAAAACGTATACATTGTCCCATAAAAACGCACAATATAGCACTTATTCTACGCAATCTAGACAGGTTAATAATCTTAATAATGCTAATCCTACCTAGCACATCCGTGAATCTGGCGCATATTAATTCATACGTACGCTTATCGGGCCATCGCCAATGCGTTTCGCTTGTGAATGTGAAACCGTTTGAATATTTATGACGGTGCCTCGTCAAGCGGCCACGGTGATGCATCATAGAGGCCAGAATCACACTCCAGATCTAGATTCTGCTGATTTTTCCGCTCGTGTTGCACACGGGCGTAGGCGTTTAACGAAAGCCAATATATAACCGTTATTAAGTTTTAGAAATAAAGAAATTTATTGCAGTTTTGGTGGCTCACTAATATAATAACTAATAATGCTTTCGGCAATCGCTTGAATGTATTTTTTCCTGTCTTCCAACTGCGCCCCCTTCTAGGTTATTCAAAAAAATCTTATAAAATACTACCGACCCGCCGTTTAATGTATTATACATATAAACGTTCCTCTTGAATTACTCTAGTGAAACCGCATCAAGATCCGTTTTTAGTTTTAAAGATCTAGTCATACATAGGGACAGACAGACAGCGGGACGACTTTGTTTTATATCATGTAGTGATTACTCTCTTTTTCAATATTAGTTTTTAAAGTGCCGATGAACGTACAACGTACATGATCACAGCCGGCATATTAAATAGCGTTTCCTTTTTAAATTTATATTAATACAGTCGAAGGGGTAGGACTTTCCCGTCGTCGTGCAACTCATGGCCACCGCGAGCGAGGTGCGCGTGCGCCGAAATGTAGCCGCGACTTTTTTGTGAATGGGCCCGCCGAACGACAGGTTTTGTTAGCTGTTAGAACAAATTTAACGGTGCGCGGCTCCTATACAGGTTTTTTAACCGCGGCGCACCTGACGGGCTTCTGCTGTCAGACTCTTAAGGGTGAACGACGACCCGAGTGGAAACGAAGTCACTGATCTGTGCACGCACCATGCACCGGAATGTTATACAGAGTAATCTCGCAAGCTGTGGCAGGGCCACGCGACAGTGTTCGCTGTTGCACGAATGGGCAGGTCCGGTTAGTACCACAGTCGTGGTACTAACCCGGACCGGTAGCGGTACTGTGGTACCTCACGGTGAGTGAGGTAGCCGGAGCCCACTTTATTAAAAGGTGGCAACGCATCTGCAACCCTACTGGTGTTGCAAATGTCCATGGGCGGCCGTTATCGCTTATCATCAGTTGAACAGTCAGCTCGTTTGCCACTGACACATAAAAAAGCTATTGCTGCAAAAAGCGTGAATTTTAAACAATAGACTGAGTTATAAATCTGCTTATATATATATGATAACCTATACCGAATCTTATAATCTAGATATAAACGTATTAATCTTGTACCAACTCTTAGTAGCTCGTTGATAGCTCAATGAAATAAAGTTAAATTTTTTTTAATAAGAATTTTAACAGCTGCATTGATATGCAATTGAGATGATCTTAAACATCAAAACAAATAAAATAATAAATAGGGTGTAGATTTAGTACTTGTTGGAGAATAACATAGTATAATATTTTCGGAAAGTACGAAGGACGTACTCAGTCACACTGCGCATTAAAATTGCTCTCGCGTTGTTGGTTTGTCCACATTCTTAATGGATAATTACGTACTCATTGATTAATGTTGTGTAAGTGGGTAAACACTATTTACTCATATGGTCCAGCGAATCTTTTATGCCAACGGATGTTCTATGTAGCCACCATCATATAACAACGTGTTATATGACGGTGGCTATATTCGTTGTTAATTGTCACTTATGGACAATAGCTTTAAAATCAATAACAGGGGAGACTTATTTTAATTAATTTCCATTCATAGCTTTGACATGACGGTGGTCATCTATACTAGAGAGGTTATGGATGTGAAATTTCAGTTTCAGTTATGGATAGATATTTTAGGGGTCGTACTATAAAAATACATTATTATCACAAATTATATAATAACTTAGTTCTTATTATCAATTGAATTTATTATTCGTTTTATTTGTTTAAGCTATTTTAAAATAGTAATCCGAAATTAAATTCTATTTTTAATTTCGAACACAAATTGCATATGAAGGATCAATCTTAGCTATTCGACAATTTTCTACATAATATATGTATATAACATATATTATGTAGAAAATTGTCGAATATAAAGGGTTTTTGTGGCAAGTTCGCGCGTTCGTAATAAAAACGACGCGGTTCGTGCGTCGACTAGGCACGCTAACTATTTATTTAGCTCAGTTTAAACTCCGTTACTATCCGAGATTATCGAATCTTTTAAATCGAATTCGAATACGGATTCCGATAGATTTTTACTTCCAATATCTTCTTTCGGTAGAAAATTAAGAAGGATTGTGCGAATCTTCATCGAACTCGTTCCTTGTGGAACTGCAAATTTTCGCGAACATTGCGTAATTTCGTGTTTTTGGTCTTTATACATTATTTTATGACTGCATTGTTCGGACGTAGTTTACGACAAGTCTGTCGGTGCACGGAGTGGTCAGGTGACGTAACTCGTAATGTGGGTCATACATTACGAGTCAAACAAGTTGATAATTATTTTTTTTTTCTTTGTTTCCAGGTAAGTTCTTGCTGATTTAGCGGCGTGTGCTGTGAAACACGGCTGCGGTAATCAGTGGTTGAGTAGTCAGCGCTGCGAAGGTAACCTATAACTATATGAAATAATAATTGTTCAATATCATATATTCTAGAGTTCGAATTTAATATATCTTTATATCATATATTCTAGAGTTCGAACTATAATATTTAAGTAAAATTTTAAATAATTGAATGTGAATAAAAAGCATCCAACCAGTTGCACATGTCCAAGAGTAATCAACGTTATCCGCTTGCTTATATGTCTTTAAAATACTTAGGGGAGCTCTGATTAAACTATTTATGTATGCACTTAAGTTTTAACTGACGTCCCTGTCAACTCTGTTGTGTCCATGTTTGAACGTCGCAACCCGCGTCGCTTGTTTCCTAGAATTTAGAAGGAATAAATCTTCATGGTTACTTTTTGTCGTGCACAGTAGCGAATTGTTTTTCTTTTCGTAATGTTATAATTTTGAACGTAATGTCATGTAGTGCCGGAACTGTGAGTGTCGCGTTTCACGTAAACATTTTGCGCTTGTTTGGCAGGAATGTCTTAATTGAAGTATAAAACAATAAAAGTGATAAAAAATGTTTTGATGAAAATCTTTGGACGCGAATTCTGGTAGGACGCGTATAAAGTAAGGATTTATACCATCCTTGCATAAGCCAGCTTTCGCAAGTGACAATTTCGACATCTAGGTTAAAACAGACCATGTATTGAACGAAAATGAGTGCCACGCTCATTGTGTAAAGTCGACAGTTTTTTGTTGTCTAAAGAGAAGGCAACAGTTTAATATATCACGTAATTGATGATATTATACTTCCCGATCGCGTTTACGACCAGCGCAATGACGTTAAATTGGTGACCGTTGTCGGATAACATCAACCGTCCCCCGTAATAAGTGCGGACGCTCAATCCGCCCGTACTTACTGGTCGCCCGTCCACCGTGCTCGGGGCTTCACTATCGAGCTAAGACCATTGGCAGTCGATCACACAGCTACGAACCCTATTACCTACCAGCATGAGCGATAATCCCGTGCATACTCCGTTCCGCAGTGCCTCAGTTTAATGGTAGTACATTATGGCGTGGTATAGTAGATTTAATATGATGTTTACTTTAAAAAGCACGAGAGTAGTTTTTGATGATGTTCGCGTTATTGATTAAGTCTACCGATAAGCGGAAGACTGTTATGGGAGGCAGTGGATCTGCGCAAAATGGAGGAGAGCACGGTCCGGGTAATCACTTGTGGAATTCAAACAAATTGCACAAATTCAAATATTACATGCATCAGATTGTAGTTTAACAATTTTAACCTACCTACTATAAAGGATATTTCGTTTGTAATAAATGTGTGATGTAATTTTTTTTTCTTTGTTATATTTTTATTCTTATTTAAATGATTCATTTATTTCGTTTTAATTTGTGTTATTAATTTGTATTATTAGATTGTATTATTAATTTGTATTATTAATTTGTATTATTAATTAGTATTTCAATTTAATTCTTAATTTGTAACGCTGTTGATGATTTGTATGTTGTTTGTACCTATAATTGGAGTAGCACCAATCTTGTGTTTTGGTTTCTTTTTTTTTTTAACTTGTGATGGTGTCTACTCTGTTGGTGCAACTAATAAATAAATAAATAAATAAATAATATTATTATCTAAAGACAAATGGTTGCCCTCAAAAAGTCCCTCTATGCGTTGTTCGCCTGATTAACCTTCGCAAATGAAATCATTTTATACTAGCTAAGGTCTAATTTTGGTCTCCGAGTGGGGTCGTAAATAAGTCATCATTAATCACGCGGACGCCTCTACGCTTAGCGACGTGCGATCGACTCGCAACGCAAGTGGGATTCGCTCTCGGTACGTGTAATTGTTCAGCGACGCGACTCGATACGAATAAATCGTTCGCTTCGATTGACGTCTAGGAAATCGATTGGACATCGATATGGTTTGTATGTATAATTTGTTTCGAAATTACTGAATGAGATCGCAAGTCCTCGGCCGAATGTTGATCAATTTAATTCGTGTTACATTCAAATCATGCAAATGTTGCGTTGACATTTTCGGACCGCCGACAAAACTTATCATTTACAGGTTGTAACGGGTTTAGTTGGTAGTACGCATTGCTTAGTTTCTATTGCTATCTGTTATGGCAGTGCGGAAGTATTAACGTCGATATCTAGAGTTACGGAAGCCAGACTTGTAAGCGAGCTTCGAGTCAATTAGCTTCGGACACCGGTCTTTTGTAAGCGATCCCGAAGCCGTAGTGGTTTTGCGTGCTGGTTTCCCTCGCAGCTCTCGGACCTTGATATAAAAAAGCCCGCATTGAATTCAAATCGAGAAGAAAATATAGATGGTAAATAATTTCGTGGACATTCTGAATGCCATTTCGTGTAATGACTAACGTGTTGTGAATTTAACTGTGGTAGGGCCACGCATCAGCTTTGGCTATTGCACGAATGGGCAAGTCCGTCCGGGTAAATAACACGACCTCACAGTAGAAGTAGAAGTGCTATACCTCTGCTTTCCTTCTGGTGCGTGAGGTAGCCGGGGCCCATTTAATTAAAAAGTGTCAACGCATCTGCAACCCTACAGGTGTTGCAAACGTCCATGGGCGAGGTATATAACTTAAAATAAGTGAACCGCCAACTCCCTTGTTACCTTCTTCCCGCGCATTCAATTTCTTTCTTACAGACACACGAAGAGCAACACAAGAGTACATACATTTCATTAACTACCAAAACATTAAAACATTTATTAAAGGTTTGAACGAATTCCTCCCTACCAGTCCGATAAGGTAATACCTACTCCGTCTAATTTTACGTTCGACACTAAAATTAGTACATGACATAGCGCTTATCTAGCCTGACAACCTGACAACCTGACAACGCGACAACCCGAAACGCCTACAAGTTAGTAAATTTTATTCCACTATATACAATGTTGAGAACATGTAACTAGTGGCCTGTAGGTTGAAGTTAAGCTCATTCATATTTTAAGTTCTGTCTAGTTGTAAGGTCGTTTACAAAGGTAAATTTTACGATGACAAACTACCAGATACCCGAAACAATTATCTGTGGGTAACACAAATACTTGTCTCGTGTGGAAATCTAATCTAAATGTGGAAGAATAATCTGGCCACGAACCTGGGCACTGAAGCTAATACCTTGGCAACTGCGCCACGAAGTCATCTAGAGTCTACTTTTCTTATATACATAATGTTATAAATATGTAGATTTCATGTATATCAAAAAACTAAAACAAAAGCCGATAAAGATTTTAAATATAAAAATATAAAAATTTATTACAGTACAAACATTTGATCGGACCTTGTCCACAGGCGATACTATTATGCATAGAATGTATATATTGCAACAAACATACAAACCAATGACGTCCTCCGCGTTCTAATCACAAATTTCTGCTCTTCATAAATACGCATGCCTTATGCCCTCCATTATCAACATTCATACCGCGGAGGCGCGTATAAATTGCAATTTGTGGGGACGATAACGCGGCGCAGCGTAAAGCCTCCGACAAATACCCGAAGGCCGCTACAAAGTTGCCAGCGGGTATTGATTTAAACGCACCATAGATAAGGGAACTGGCCGCTGATTGGCCGGTGTTGCCCGCTCTTAATTGAGAACTGCGCTCGCGCGGTACCGTCGCGACGTTGATGACAGCTTCGAAATGACATAAGAGCATGGCTGGCGTCGTCTACGCCTTTAATATTACACGTAGTTGTACCCGTTACTGTAAATAATCGGATACAGTGTGCTCATGGTGATGTGAAAGACAATAATGTATGCAACAGCTTTCATATATTTGCAAGAAGAGACCTTAGCAAGCATGCTTTTAGGCTGAAGTCATTTGTGTGTATTCAACTTAAATAAAGTCTAAATGTTCATTAAACGTTATCGATAATTGTTCTCTGAATAAAGAAATTTTACAAATACAATGTTTAGTTTTGGTAAGCATTATAGCGAGTTCGATAGAGAGCACTTCCTAATCCTGTGTCGTTTCAATATCTAGATCGATTTTGTAGATATATAGTTGATGTGACATGAATTGCGTTGTCATAGTGACTACTTTTCATTCTTCCCCTTACCTTATTCCCACCTAGATGGGTTAGGCACAACATGTTTATGCTGTTATTAGTCAACGTCGCTCCTTGGGAACGAACATTCAGATCCGGAATTATCTGTGGCCTTCACAAATAGATGCCCCGCGTTGGAATCGAACCACCCTACGCCGAAACCAAGGACTAAACAGCTACGCAACAAGTCATAACAATAGTTGGCTTCTTAAAACATAATACAGACAATAGTTGATATCAATGAGATGCCAATTTCGTCTAGATGTTTGATCAAGTGAAATTGATACCACTAATGTGAATAAACGTTATTAAGAATATATCAGAATGCCAATGTTATGCAAGGTGGTTTAAAACTCAATTTCTAGTAGCTATTTACTTCTAATAGCTACTTATATAAGTGGACTCGCGTTTCGAGATGTCGAATGTTGCCACAAACTCAGTACGTGAAATTCAAAACTTCGAACAGAAAGTGTTGGCGTGAAACTCGAAGCTAGAGGCAGGAGTATCAGACCGTGGCGCTGTACTTGCCACTTCGTGTGGCGCAAGGCACACGATAAGGCGTTTCTAGTGAAAATTGACAATTTCTATGTTAAAAATCTAACTTATAATTTATATTTCCCATTGCTTTGCTTAAGCTCTACAGTCTTCTTCCTTTAAAAGTGTAATATTGTCCTTATATTGTCAAAAGTCGCATTCATAAACTTTAAATTTAAGGAGTAAACAGAGATGTCAAGTGCCATATATTACATCTTTGGCTCAGTTAATCACTTATTAGATGGAAAGCCTGGCGGTTAGAAAGAAAATTTTTTATGTGAAAAGTTGCCAAACGAGCAGACGGTTCACCTGATGTTAAGTGATTACCGCCACCCATAAACATCTGCTACACCCGAGGGTTTGCAGATGCGTTGACAACATTTTGGAAATTTTGCATGAAAAAAAAAATAACAGAAAATTACTTATTGGTAGACGTCTCTTGTTCACATAGACCAGCAATGGCTTGAATATTTGGTATAAATAATATAAAATGTGTAAGACCCTTGGCGACTAATAGCTTCTTGTGTTTACGTGAATACTGGAGTAAGATGAACAATATCTGGGAGCTGTAAGGCGTTACAAATCGCTGGGAGCTCACGTCTTCGTCCGCTCGCAGGAGCATTCAGAGTGTGAAATTAAGTGTTCGTTGTAAAAATGCGCGTGCGTCGATCGCCGATGCGCTCAAGACGCTATCAGACCGCGTTGTCTCAGATTCCTGAAATTGTTCGCAATTAATTCGTCACTCGCAATTTCACCGCTCGTTTCTAAACGCCGGTAATGTTTCGCCGATTGTATCTAACACCTTCTTTACTCAGGTTTTTATCACGCCATCGTTTATTACAATGACCGTGGTTGTATCCACAAACTCATTAGTAGAGACCTCACTTTCTTCTTGTTTAATTGCGAACGATGATTGCGTATCAGATTTGTTCCAATAGTAAAAAGCAACATAAAATAAAAGTAGTGATAATACCAATAAAAACGATTTATTTACGTGGTGTTTACGGGATTCGAAAGCGTTTACTCTTGTAGTTTCCCCGTAGAAGTATTGATTTGATGACATTTTTGACGTTCTCGAAACGCTTTTGGCTTCGCGGGACCTGGGCTCAACTTCCATCCGATAGATGTATCTTTATAAATGTCCTTGTACAATTTGTGTTTACATAACTCCTATAAAGCAGAGGATTATCAATGTGATAGAAAATATTAAAAAAAAAAAAATGCAAAATTAACACTAAATGCGTCATGAATTGTATGCAGGTACTATATAGATGAATTTCATAAAAATGGAAAATTGACAGTAAACGGTTTATATATGTATGGTTAATTGAGACTTATCCCTATTTATACGATAAATTCATTCTAGAGTCCATTAGTCGTTTCCATTAACTAAGCACTTCCCGCTCTGTTAACGTCGATCTCGTAGACGTTGTCCCTTGCGCTTAAACGGTTTATGAACCGGGAAATGGGCGCGGCCAAATGGGTCCCCGGGAACGGACTGCGGGCATATCGCGGAGTGTGCCAGCCAAAGATACTGCAATTCTATCCTTTTTAGGGTTCCGTATCCAAAGGTTAAAATTGGCTCCTATTACTAAGACTCCGCTGTCTGTCTCCACGTCTGTATAGTTAAACAGGTGGTGTTTTCACAGATGATGTTTTCACAGATGATGTATTTCCGTTGTCGCTATAACAACAAATAATAGTAAACAGAATAAAAAAAGTGGGGCTCCCATATAACAGACATTATTTTGTTTGTCGATTTTATAGATAATGGTAGGGAGCCCTTCGTGCCCGAGTCCGGCTCGCATTTGGCCGGTTTTTTTTAAAAGGACACATCAGCCGTGAATATGATGTATACATGTGAATATGATACATACACACAAACATCCCGACACATAGCTTGCCCCAACATATACCGTTTTTTTGTGAAAAGTTGCCAAGCGAGCATGCTGTGTACCTGATGATGAGTGTATACTTGCAGATGCGTCGACAACATTTAAAAAAGTGGGCTCTGGTTACCTCCGGTATAATACCTGTAAGGCCTTTTAATTCCCACTTTATTTCTTCATTACCGCCAACTGCGGACTTCACTCCGGAGAGCATGTGCTGCTAAGTGAATTTTAATTGTAAGCTCAATATGCGATGACGATCTTTAATAGTGTGCCCCGACTACCTTACTCACCAGACGAAACGTGAAAGTTTAATATTTCCAATTCACACTGGTATTCTGTTCGGACGCGGTACTTCCCCGGACGCGCCTGGCAGCGGCCGACGCTGGGTGACTCAAACTTTTCTAACATTTAACATTTGAACATTAAGTGGCAACAATAGTAATTTATATATCTGCTTTATCATTTTCATACTTATTTTGTATTGACCCGAATGGCGTAGTGGGTAGTGTACCTGCCTCCTGCGCCAGAGTTCGATCCCCACATATCTGAGTGTTTATATAATTATGTATAATATGTATTTATTTAAAAAAATATGTTTTAGTATGTTTATCAGTTATCTACCTGTACCCATAGTACAAGCGTTGCTTAGTTTGGGACTAGAGAACTTTGTGTAAAAATGTGTCCTAAAAATATTTATTATTATTATTATCAAAGAGTTGTGTGATTATTTGATCGATTTCAACGAGCGATAGACGCGCTTCAGTGAAGTCACCGCAATACATTAATTTGTGTGTGTCAATCAGGCGATTTATATTCATTGACCGACATTGTATTGGCTTTCGTATTTTTGTGTTATACGCGGCCACTTCCGATGAAATTGTAGCGTTTGAATAATTGCAGGCTCATTTGTCACCATGTTTCACTGAATCCGAGAGTCGTTACGATGTTCAATTTCCTTGGGCTCTGCAATTAGTGAAATTAGTTTTAAAATTCAAGTCGAAGGACCATCTGCGTTATAAAAGCCAAGCGGACCGTCGTTAGGGAACCCGAACTTATGGAAATTTAAAGTAATCAAAGGCATGCAATGCCATCGTCACGCGATCAGTCTGATGGTACTGAATCCTGTAGGCGGTTTTTTCTGCTGACCATTTGATTTAGTTTTTTTTTATTGATAAGTGTTTTTTCAATGTTTTTTTTTATCTGAGAAGGTGGCAAGCGAACTGGCGGTTCACCTGATGTTGAGTGATAACCGCGGCCTATGGACACACCCGTAGGGTTGCAGATGCGTCGGTTGCCTTGTAATAAAGCGGGCCCCGGCTGCCTCAGTCTCCAGACGAAACGCAGAAGTATAACACTTCCACTTCACGCCGGTCTTCTGCAAAATTGTGCCACTTCCTTGGACGATTCTGCCCATTCGTGCAACAGCCGAAGCTGCTGCGGGGCCCGACCACAGCCTAAGAAGCTATAGCATGTTACTAATATCCTTACTCTAACATTATTAAATAAGGCATTCAATCTAGACAAAACGTAAGCCGAGAGAGCTAATGGTCTCACCCTAAATCCACTGTGCATAAATCACTATTAAAAGACTCAATTGACATAGTTGTCCCGAGCACTTGGCTAATATTTAAGCTACGTAACTCAGCATAAAAGAATCACGGCGCGCTTGCAGTAATCGCACGCTCAACCATTACAACCATTGTGTTGGGTACACACGGACCGACGGCTGTTATTAATAGTGTATTGCACAATCGATAATTTTATTAATAACACGACCATCAAAATTGAATTATTCGCAACGCGTACAAATCGTTTCGTTTCGTTAATGGCATTTGAACTGTTAACAGCACGTTTACAACATGTTACATTACCCTGCCGTGATCAGTGTCCGGGCGCTCGCCTTTAATTCAATATATTCGAGCAACCTGAGTTCGATCCCCCGTGCCGGCGGCAATGAAATTGTTAATTTTGTGTGCCGAATTATCACGTGCTCAGCGATGAGGGAAATATCGTGAGGAAACCTGCATATTTTCGAAATAATAACAAAAAATATATTTCGAAGATATCTGAAGTCCGCCAATCTGCAGTGAGGCCGCGTGGTGGACTATGCCCTGATACCCTCTGTACAGAGGAGGCCTTTGCCCAGCAGTGGGACATGTATAGGCTGATATTTTACTTTAACATTACCCTAACGGTGCAAAGAATGCTTGTGGATTGCAAAAATCTTTTGATATTGACATTCGTACAATCGATCCATTCGATATTAATTCGATCTAATCAGGATGCATTTTATTTTTGTTTATAGTCTTGATCCACCTAAACCTAAATGTTTATGACTGATTTTTTAAATGTTCGTCAACAGCTGATACAGCTTGTTGTTTTGTAATTAATTTTTAACTTTTAACGTTCTCAAAACTGACACTTACAGTGTATAGAGTATAGAATATTTACTCCCGGACACTTAATACATTACGTTATTTGGTTAAAATAAAAACCGGCCAAATGCAAGTAGGACTCGCGCACGAAGGTTTCCGTACCATTGTAAGTAAGACAAAAAAAGTAATTTCTATTCAATGGGAGCCCCCCTTAAATATTTTTAGTATTTGTTGTTATAGCGGCAATAGAAAGGCATCATCTGTGAAAATTTCGCCTGTATCATGGTTCAGATAAAGCCAGGTGACAGACGGACAGACAGAAAGCGGGGTCTTAGTAATAGGATCCCGTTTTACCCTTTGGGTACGGAACCCTAAAAACCTACTAAACTATACTTATCGCTATTCAAAGTTGAAAGACAATACATTGGCAACCTGTTACGATGGCCCAAATAAACCTCAGTGAAAAGTTGCTTCATACGGACTGCTTGCAACCTTTGACCGTCCCATTAGAGTACACGGACGTGAGAGCCTATTATCGGGCACCGTTGACACACTTACGGAGCCGTGTGATGATTAACCGGCCAGGTTGAAAGTGTCCCTATCCGTATTGGAAGGAAACGAGAAAGTTGGGTCATTATCGCGTCAACATTATCGCTTTCAATTAGGCCATTTTGAACTGTGATCTCTCAGACCCTCCAAAGATAATAAAGCAGGAATAAAGGCTTCCCGCAAGCATAGACTTGCGTCGTTAGTACTGTTAACTTATTCTAAAGTTGTTAAGTTCTAGACACTGCCATGATCACCTTTTGTCACCCATTCATTAGGCGTCAGCTAACTCTTTACACCCGCAACAGAGACCCGAAATCCTCTGACGCGAGTCACAGGTTATTCATCCGAAGCTCCTCAATCGCGACCTTCGGCGCCCAGCCGCCGCAAAGACAAGGCCCGCGTGTCATTACGCGTGTTGGGGGGGAACGCTGATTGCCATCTCGGGCGGCGTGTCCTCAGGCAACGGCCGTCATTAGAGCGCATCCATCTCTGTCAAGCGGGTAATTACCGCGCACGCGTTCAGACAAATCACTCCGCCCGACGAGAGCGGCGGCAGCCGAAACTTGTACTTTGTTCAAACCACCAACTGCCCAGCACCAGATAGTATGCCTACCGCCCTTTGTATGTGACTAGCTTGAGGCTTAAGTCTTACCTCTGCATTTTCGTTCATATCTTTGGAACTTTCAAAGTTTGTATTGCTATATTCGAATTTGCGTAAAGCTACTTGCTGCTATTGTATTATGTGTGGACCATATAGCTCTTTTGTCATTTCGTATCATAGATTAAGTTTCTTGTGAAATTGGATCTACGATTTAATATTTTTTGTCGAATAGCATTAAAATCTTTCAGAGCGCGTTTTATCAGTAACTTCACAGACTTAATCCACAGTTGAGTTTCATAGAATTTTATATCATTAGCCTGTAGGTCTGCCCTGAGCTGTTTTTTCCTCACTTTCAATTACATCGCGTCCTGTCGGTACATAAATAAATTTCTGACTTCCCTCTATATTAAAATAACCAATTTACGATTTTTCCACGTACGTAACTCTCTACATTCGACGACATTTGTGTGTTAATACTTTGCGAATACCTAGTTGTTATCGGTGGCTTCTTATGAGTCCATCCATTGTATAATAGGTAAGTTATAATTCGCGTCATTTCCTTATTTCGTAGCGTGAGTGTAAGATATATTGCCACGTTAGGTAATATTGTGTTATGCGACTGCTTTCTTGCGTCTATTTGAGCGATGCACGCCACATTTTTACGCATCGTCGCTGGGAAATCCGGTAAAGAAGTGTTTTTCCGTCAGTTTTCTATACATATCCGTAAAGATGAGTTGCGTGGTTTTCCATCTTACTGTTGCGTAATATCTGCATAATGTAGCCAGAACTGCACTCAAGACTAGTTCCCACGATTCATCATGTGCAGAGTGCATTTTGCAGAATCATCCGTGATGGTTTAGTGTCTCTTCCTTCCGCATTGCTTTAATTTACGCTTAAAAGTTTTACGAATATAGGAAAGCGGGAACTGACTGGACGCAACAAATGAGCGGTTCATTTAAAACAGCCGACTCACTGCTTATTTTTGCCAAATATCTTTACGCTCTCATCACGTAAACGAAAGATTTGTAAAACACAAATGCGACAACATAATCAAAGCTATGTGCGCACTAACGGATAGTCAATGGTTTCAATATATATGATAAACAACCGGTTTGCGCATAAGTCAACCCAGAGCTAGTAAGTCTGGATGAATGTTATTGTAATGAGATCACCTGGGATCAGCCCACGCGTCGCACTGACTTAGTATTACGGACGCGGGGACGGCATCTAGTGTGTTTATGTTTGTCACTTAATGCCGGCTTAAAGCAAATCGTCTGATGAATCTTGAGACCATGTCAATATATAAAAAAATCTGTCTGTCTGGTGATTCTTAAGACCATGTCGATCTATAAAAAGGATTAATTGGTTTTTTCACTCGTTCACTGTTTTCATCCAAAACATGTTACTATTTTTACAAAAAATATAAAGTGACTGTTAATTATCAGCGGTCAAATTACAGATACTTTATACCGTGGCATATTGACTGTTATTAATAATTCTTTCCTCAGCTAGTCCGTAAATATCGTTCGTTTAAACTTTTGGTCGCGTCTAGTATTACATCGTAATTCGAACCATCGTTCTACTGTAGTAGGGCCCGCTGCCGCTTTTGCTTTGTGTGTACGGGTAAGCGTCCAATCAATCATGCTTTTGCATTTCATTTTTTTAGTAAATAAATGTATTTTCTTCCATTCTTATTTCTTTTACAATGTGGCAACGCATCCGCAACTCGACAAGCGTTGCAGATGTCCATGGGCTCGGTGGTACCTTCTCAGTTTTTTTTAATTTATCTATTCAGAAAAAGACTAGTCTTTCTAGCTATAAGAACTCTAAGTTGACCGCAGCCAGATTCATTTAATTTGTTCTTAGCTTAACTCCGCCATTGTTATCATTAATTGTTATCATAGAGTAGGCGATCACTTCTCCGGTTTTATTGCCGCTAAAACTATGGACTCAGACCGCTTCTCCCGGACGTGGCGTCTTCGCTTACACCGCAACTGCACCGCCTCTACGAGGTAACATGATTTATGGCTGTGGATGTAACCTGTTGAGGACAGGTTTTACTTGTCCAGCATAATTATACATCCCCTGGGATAGATTGCCGGTGCGTTGTTTTTTTCTCCCCTCGAGTAAAATTTTCGTGGGAGCGTTTTTTATGAGCCTCCCTATCTTCTATCGTGGTACAACGGCCGCATTTGAGGAATCTTAGCTTAATAAAACTAAGACTTTAAAGCGCGTGATTAGATATAATTGTCCTCTTTTTAACTTTTTTCGTTAAAACATGAAAATATTTAACTGTGGTAGGGCCGCGCAACACTATTTGCTGTTACACGAATGGGCAGGTCCGGCGGGTAGTACCACGAGCTCACAGAAGACCGGCGTGAAGTAGAAGTGTTACACTTGTGCGGTTCGTCTAGTGAGAAAGGTTGCCGGAGCCCACTTTATTGAAAGATGGCAACCCATGTGCATCCCTACGGGTGTTGCAAATGTCAACGGGTGGTGGTTATCATTTAATATAAGGTGAAACGCCAGCTCGTGTGACACCTTCTCGCAAAAAAAAAATATATTTAATTAGGGCTGCCTCTTGTTTTATTTTAAATTCGAAGGGAGCTGCTGTTCTGTATACTGCTTACTGAATTCTATGCACGCTCTCGCTATATCGAAATATGAACGATAACGGGAAGACGCTTTCAGACAATAGCGTACCACCGTTAGCGTACCACCTGGCCAAGGGCTGTCGCGGCGGTACGTGAGCGCAATTAGCGGGGCATGCGCATGAGCACATGTGCGCATGCCGCGATGGCCCGCGCTAACCCCGCCGCGGCGCGTACGTGACGGGTCGCGGTCGTTACAGCAGACGACTAAACAATGCCAGTTTTCGCTATGCGGACGCTCGGTTTGAGTTCCAGTTTGCAGCTCGAGTCGCATTGAAGTCGTAGTGTTATCGCACTAGTGTGTATATAAATAAAAGTTTGTGTGTATGTGTGTGTGTTATAGCAACAGCTAGAGGAATTTGAATTGCAATGAATTCCCAAATCAAATTTAAGTTTTATCGGCTTTTGCTTATGAGTTTGTTATTAGGACGCAAAGGAATGGAGGGTAAAATCAGCGATTTTGAATGGAAAAGTTGCCACATGAGTTAAGCCGCGAGCAGAAGCAGTATTTTATAAGTAATACGTCTATGATAGGGTACTGGCCCTTCTATTCTATTTAAATGAGTGTAAAACAGTTGAGTACTAACAATTTTCAACATATACCGATCGTGCTAGAATCTAGATAGATCTAACATCTAGATCGTTGCTTGTTTATGGAATTTGTATGCAACAAAATCGAAAAATAACAAACGGAAGTGTTTAAGCGCGTCGTGCCTTCAAGCCGCGGCACTTAAAGTTTCGCGAGTCGCAGTTTCAAAACCGCTGCCCCACCTCACTGTTAAATATTGACGGTTTTAGTGCGGCTTTTTGCAATTCCGTCAGCGTCGCGGCGTATCCTTAGAATTTGCGTCTAGCATTGCATTGACGCGAGCGTTAGCCCTTGAAAGGCTTTACAAAATGCCTGGACGGCGAAGAACGGCGCCGTCAATCCCATTATGATGCGACGGGGAACTGTCGCTGCGTTGCCAGCTCCACTCATCCCCTTTACGACCCGTACATAATAATTATCGGCGTATTCTATTAGCTCGGACGCCCGTCATGGCGGTGCCTCCACGCCCATCGCGGCTTATTGCCTTCCGCCCGCGACCGAGCGAGCCTCTAACGCTTCAAGTCATCAATGTTTTGTCGTGTCCTTGCTGTACTTTATCCTTAATATCCTTTTGAACCGACTTCAAAAAAGAGGAGGTTCTCAAATCGACTGTTTCTTTATGTTTGTTACCTCAGAACTTTCAACTGAGGGAACTGATTTTGATGATTCTTTTTTTTTAACGGCTGGTGGTTCCCATGTAGTCACATATTAAATACATTGTTATTGGATCTTGGGCTCCGGAGATACTTAGAGAACTCCTGAAAATCAATTATAAAATGAATACAGAGCGAGATATTTGAAGTCGGTTTTTTATGATGTGAATATTTCAAGACAGCTTTTAGACAATGGTGCCTTGTGTTTGTATATAAAGAGTCCAGAATTTCCTCCGGAACTATCTAACTCAATATATACGTCTCTCGTAAGGGGAACGTATTCATAGATGTAGATGAATATTCTTTACTATTCTGGATGTAGAATATCTATCTATAGCTTATACCGCTTTATAGTCACCCAAGGCGTGAAGTAGGTTCGTAGATTTTCACATTAGAGGTTACAAAGCCGAAGGCGTAGGACTTCCAACCAATGAATTAGGTGCCATAACGCTTTCGCGGCAAGTGCAGTTTTTGAATCGTTCACACGATGTTCCATCGGGAAGGGGAAATGCGCAATGACGATTCCATTTTATTAGCCTTGCGGTCGGGTGAGGTTGCTCGGGCGTTCGTCCACCTCGACGCAGATGTAAAGTCGTCTTAGGCGCTGTAAGTGTCCTGTAATTGTTTCAACGATATTAGGTGTTTCCTCCGTATCCGCTGTACGCAGTGTCGGCTTTTAATTACTAAAGGTACTCCGATCGTGATCTTTGTTAGTTTAGAATCCGCGCACTTGCTATATAACAACTGTGCTCTAGCAACTTTATATCGAATTGCTGTTCCGGCGTAAATATAGTTTACAACAACATTGTAATTATATTGTTTAACACTTGCTCGGCGAGAAAACACATTGTAAGAAACCCTGCGTAATTTCGAAGCCTGAAGACACTGCTATATAGCCTTTTTTGCAACCCTACGTATCATATATTCCGAAAATAACTTTCCTACGCCGAGGAAAATAAATCATATGTATCTTGTAACAAGCTAGACTTAACCTATAGACGTTATAGGTACTCGCTTTGAACTTATAGAATACTTAAGACGTCCCGATAATTCGCTGACGCAACTGCTCGCACCTCTAACTTTGTTAGCGGGCACCTGATAAGAGTACCGCTAAACTTAGCTGTTCTCCGTTGTATGTCTATCCATAGTGTTGTTTTGCGTCCTACAATACACACAAAGGAGGGATAAATCGATATCCATCTTCTAAACGCCGTCAAAAGTAGTTAGTAGTAGCTTAGTGGCTAAAAGCGTCAGGGCGCGAAATCCGAAGACGTGGGTTCGATTCCCACAACGGCGACAAATTTTTTCGTACTTTTTACACACGTCTTAATTCCGACAACAACTAAACTAATAAATAGAAAATTAACTAAAAAAAACAGTTTGTAGTGGACTGAAATTTGAATCTAAACCATTCTCGAATCCATTTGAACAAACCATAAAAATCGGTCTACCCCTTTAGGAAGAGTTCAGTCACATACACACGCACAAATGTAATATATAAAATTCTCGTGTCACGGGGTTCGAACTTGAACTCCTCCGAAACGGCTCGACCGATTTTTACCAAATTTTATATGCGTATTCAGTAGGTCTGAGAATCGGCTACTATCTATTTTTCGTCCCCCTAAATGTTAAGGGTAGTCCAACCCTAATTTTTTTTTTATTTTTTTTATAAAACTTTTTGTTTCTATTTTTTTATGACACAGCATACAAAAATACATACAACCCTAAATTTTCACCCCTCTACGCAGACGTTGTCGCGGGCAGCAGCTAGTAAATTATATAAATAAAATATATTGTTAACAAGTAAACAAAAAGAACACATTCAACACTGACGCCCGGTTTCCGAAACACTGATCATCGTAGATGTCAACTAATCAGCTGTCAAATGGCTTGTCAATTTAATTTTAGTTGCCAAAAGGATAGTTAAGCTCTCTGAATTGACCGGAATGATCTCTTTAATGGCCATCCTTTTGGTAACTAAAATGAAATTTGAAAAGCCATTTGACAGCTGATTAGTTGACATCTACGATGATCAGTGTTTCAGCAACCGGGCGTTAATCGAACAAAAAACAACAATATTTACGACAATCGCTTCGCTATTAACACAAGAACTTTCGGACCGCCCGTCGAGGCGCGGCTTTACGATTTTCGCGCCACAATATTTTCCCGCACGCGGCTAACGGACCGCCGCGGCCCACGCCGTTACGCTCACTTCCCATACTTGCAGGCGAAGCTTAATAGTCAAATTCAATTCGAATTTAATCATCGTTCACGTGGTTTGAAGCTAGTGGAGAAACAGAATTATATTATCCTTTTGTCTTTCTTCCTCACGCATTGAGATAAGTTGTTACGCCTGCCCATCGGTGTTAACAACTGTTCAAAAAAAAATTCTCACTAACGTGTTTTAAAAACTCATTAAAATTCACTAAATTCAAGTAAAAATTCGAAAATGAGAAACATTTAGGAAATTCCGGTTTGAATTTACCTCCTAAAAACTTCCTTTGTAAATTTTTTTCTTCGTAGCCTTAGGAAGAAAATTCCTAAGTTGGCATCCGTAACACATCGCTTAATGTCATAGAGGAAGCTTCGTGGTGATAGACTCACGACGCCACTATGGGTGCAGATTTATTTCCCGCGCTTTTCCCTTTCGAAGATTACCGTGCATATCATTCTGACGCTTAAGGCCCATTTACACGGTGCAAGTTTCTTGCCTGTTATATACAATTAAATTGAAGTAATAAATGAGTTGCATGGTCTAAACAACAAATGGTCTAAACAATTATTGCGCGCAATTTATTGCATTCAATTATTGCTCTTGTATGTTCAAGAAAATGGCATCGTGTAAATGGGCCTTTAGATTCTTAATACGATTGCGAGCGGCATCCTAAGCTACTTACCACCAATACTTTGACGTTACGCGATATGGCTATCCGATCACGCCACAAGAGTTATGAGATTTTATTTCATTTGCAAAAGACTGTCTCGATTGACGTGTAGCCTGTACGTTTGCTGGGTGGCAGCATAGCCAGCAACCGGCTTTGGGCCAAAGGGAATTATTTTGCAAATATGCACGAAACTCGGCAACATCACTCAATGAGCGTGGTCGCGTCATTTGAATCCGCCCGTTGAACTCTTTGGACCATCTGAGCTTTTGATTTATTGTTATGTCTAATAAAGACATTAATTTAATTTGGCGTGTATGTTAGTTTGTGATATATTATCCTTTTATCCTGATTGAGCAGAGACACATGAGCTACAGTATGATTCATACACGATAAAAAGTCAAAACAGTTCTTCGCAACCGGGGAGTGTTTCAACAACTCAACATTGACCTTAAGCGGTGTAGATTTGATCTGACTCCCACGTAGTACGCACGTGACCACCTGTTCCTTGGATGGTAGACTTCTGCATGGAGTTTTAAACGGGGTTTAGGGTTGCTGCATGCCAAAATATAACATACAAAAACATATTCACGCCGCCTGGCTAATCGTTTCCGATGATAATACAAAAACGTGACTCTCTTTCTATATCTATCGATCGATACATTTAATATGCAGGTATTTGTAGATATACCGACCTTACAATAATCATGCGAACGCGGCACCTTTGAATATTGTATGGGTAACCTTGTTTTAACAGCGAGGTCATATTATTATGACAGCTATCGGACCTTCACAATTTTGGGGTCGCGCCGCTTCCTGCATCACGCTCAGACATGTGTGAATTAATCAACCCTATCAATGTCTTAAGAAGTATTATGGAACTTTAGACATGCGCATGTTTACGTCTAGTGATTTGATTTGATTAGTATATTGCATTCCAGAGTCAAGTTTCGTGAATATTGATGCGTGGTGTTATATTGCACTGTTATACAGCGTGTCTTTACAATCGCGACAATAAATGAACACATGGACACAAGGATAACTTTTTAAAATTGTATTAAACATTTACATTCTTTAAACATTAATATTTACCGACTTATTAAATTTTCCAAAACAAACAATTTTATTACACCTTTACATTAAATAAAAT